TGCTGCTTGTTTAGCTTCTAAATTGAGTTTAAAGTAAACCTGAATTGTCTTGTATCTTTATTTTCAAGATGAATTATACCCAAGAAATCCAATATTCGTAATTGTCGCAATATTTTTGGGAAAGAAATGATAGAGTCCAAAAATGAAATAAACAAAAAAATTATGCATATAAAAAATATTAAAGATTCTACAATCTACATTTACCAAAAAAGGTGTAGGGTAGGTAGATAAAGATAATTAAAAGCCGAATCTATATATAACAAAGTTTTGGCTCATATATATTTGTATAATATATGTGTATAATGTATATGTTTATAAATATGTTCTGGGATAAAATCATGATTTAATACCAATGGCGGGTAAATGGCGGGTTTGAATACGACTATTCGTTAATTCATAAGCTTGGGCAACGCCGGTCACTCTAGCTAGTAACCCATAAATTGAAATAATTCTGATGGAAGGTTTTTGAGCTTAAGTAAAAAAAAATTATGTATTCATTTATATGAAAGTAACATGATTTTTCCATTAATTCTTTAAAGCCTCCATTTGGAATTTTACGTAGTTCTACCGCCATTTGATAGGTTTTTGTTTTTGATTAAAAAATATGTATTTTGATTTAGCCCATGGGTTTAAAATGAAAATTAACTAAGTGGTCAGTTAGTGAAAGAAAAGTATTCATTTAATTTTTTTTGTATAAGTTTCATATTATCATCAAAGCAATATCTAACGGTTCTCTCTATTTTCTAACGGAATTTTCTGTTCATATTCAGAAACATCCATTCGTTGACGGGACTTCGCCCACCCCTATTGTTAAACCGGTGTCCTCATGCGACAGTTCATCCTCCCTCATGGGATTCAGCTATTTAAACACAATTATAGACATAAAAATAAATTTGAAAACATTTAAAAGTATTGGTTTATATAAATAAATGCCTATTAAGGTCTTCAATGTCACAAATATCGTTTTACTTTCAAATTATCAGATAATTAATACTTCTCCATGTCACTGTGATTTGAGGGTTCTCTTGAGCAAAAATATATGAGAATTTTGAAAATTTCTTCTTAAAAATCAAAGCTAACAACAAGTAATTTAAAGTGCTAAAATGTACATGTAAAGGGATACAGAAAGGCATAAGTGAGTAGAACGGTAAAATCAAAGCCCAAGGCGCTGCGACATTTCAAAGTCGACACCACTCTCTTAAAAATTGACGAGACTTTTTCTAAGCAGACTGAATCTATGTGATGACACAGGACTAGACGAGAAGAGAATGAAGAATGTCGGTATTGTTTCTCCATATCCCTGAATATATTGGTTGGTTGGATTCCGCCAGCCTCTATACTGGAGGCTGACTGGGGGAATGTCCTCAGGCAAGCGAGGCAGGGGCCCTAGTGAAGGCCTAAGGCCAGTGGTTTGTAAGCACCGGAGTAGTAAGTTGCATCTTGTAGTGTTTATTATTAATTTATACAATATTATTTAATAATTAAGGGTCAAATCGTAACAAAATTTAAATGGATCTCTACTAGATATATATGTTTGATAGATGGTTAAATTAAAACGCGTATTAACACTTGTTGCGAATAAAGAAGGAAAATCAATATACTTAATATGTTGTGTGTGGTTAAAGGGGGGGGGGTCGGTAGTTTATTTTTAACCAATATTACGTCATGCAAGTTATTTCATGTATTACTGCTTGAAATCAATGGTTGAATTTAAATTAAAATATTTAAAGATTTATTTATGCTTGCCAGGAGATCATGAGATGGTCTAGTTTCCTCTTCATAATACAAAAACTCTTTTTAAACTAGATTTTATTTATTGTTTACCATTATGTAAACTTGTAAACTGTATTCTTGATCATTGTAGTAAACTTTGTTCTTCTCTATTTAACTATATTCTTGATCATTGTAGTAAACTCTGTTCTTCTCTATTAAACTACACTGTTAGAAATGCCATTTTGTAAATTTTCAATATCATCATATTTCAGGCCAATATAATGTTCTTCTCTATTAAACTATATCCTTGATCATTGTAGTAAACTTTATTCTTCTCTATTAAACTGTATTCTTGATCATTGTAGTAAACTTTGTTCTTCTCTATTTAACTATATTCTTGATCATTGTGGTAAACTTTGTTCTTCTCTATTTAACTATATTCTTGATCATTGTAGTAAACTCTGTTCTTCTCTATTAAACTATATTTTTGATCAACTTTATAAGGAATAAAACACGCAGATTTAACAGTTCGGTACTTGTCCCAGCAAGCTGTGACAATCACAATTTTACAGATTAAACATAAATTTTTCACTTTTTCTTTTTTATTCTTTGAAAAAATATGAAGGACAGCTCTGTAAGTTTAAATATTATTAAATCACCAAAAGGCGATTAAATTCAAATTGAAGAAATCGAACCCCTTTATCACTGGTTAGTCCAGGGTTAAATCTGTTGTTTAAGTAAAAACAAGTCTTTCTAAATAAGTTATAAACATTGTTGTTTAGTGAGATACATACTGTTGTTAATGAGTTATAAACACTGTAGTTTAATAAGTTATAAGTACTGTTGTTCAATAAGTCATAAGCACTGTGGTTTAATAAGTTATTAACACTGTTGTTCAATAAGTTATAAGTACTGTGGTTTAATAAGTTATTAACACTGTTGTTCAATAAGTTATAAGCACTGTTTTTTAATGAGTTATAAACACTGTTGTTCAATAAGTTATAAGTACTGTGGTTTAATAAGTTATTAACACTGTTGTTCAATAAGTTATAAGTACTGTGGTTTAATAAGTTATAAACACTGTTGTTTAATGAGTTATAAACAATGTTTATTATCACTGTTGTTTAAAAGTTATAAACACTGTTGTTTAATACGTTATAATTAAACACTGTTGTTTTATGAGTTATAAACAATATTGTTTAATAAGTTATAATTAAACACTGTTGTTAAACGAGTTTTAAACACTGTGGTTTAATCAGTTATAATTAAGCACTGCTGTTTAATAAGTTATAAACACTGTTGTTTAATAAGTTATAAGCACTGTGGTTTAATAAGTTATAAACAATGCTGTTTAATGAGTTTAAAAATTGTAAATGTGACCTGAATGGGGGATTTTTTTTTTATGAGAAATAATGCTTCTGGTGTTTTATGAGTTACTATTGGGAACCCAGCTTTGCTAGCAAAGTAGCAAAGTTAGTTTCTTCTCAGCATATGCTGAGAAGAAACTAACTTTTCTCTTTAAAAGTCAACAGAACCCACTCAACTTTTTAAAATTTTAAAATCAAGCTAACCTGGCCTAACCAGGGCTAGATTCGTCCGGTTTTATAAGTTTTAATTGATTCAAGTTTTGATCTTTAATTCAAAAGAGAAAAAGCAAAAAAATCAGGTTTATTTGGAAATCAAAATTCACAGCTTGCTGCCTTAATTTATACATTATTGGACTTTAATAAAACACAACAATTAAAAATACTTTCATGACTGTAGAAGATATATATTAAGAAGATTGCTGAACATGCTGAAAAGATCCATACTCAAGAAGAAGATATATATTAAGAAGATTGCTGAACATGCTGAAAAGATCCATACTCAAGAAGAAGATATATATTAAGAAGATTGCTGAACATGCTGAAAAGATCCTTCTCAAGAAGAAGATATTTATTAAGAAGATTGCTGAACATGCTGAAAAGATCCATACTCAAGAAGAAAAGGATTAGACAATGAAAAGAAAATATTTCTAAATCAGAAATGTGATTTTCTCTTTATAAGATTCAATAATTCTAGTTTCAAAGCATAAAATCATGCTGGATATTGCACACGTAGATCCAGATGCTGGATATTGATCACATAGATCCAGATGGCTCTGATAAGTTGCATCAAGTTTTTAGACAAGTCGGCATTGAAGTGTTGCAACGCCTTGGCATTTGATTTTACCTCACTGACTCACTTTTGCTTTCTTGTTGCCCTAGAAATGTACATTTTAGAACTCTAAAGCACTTGTTTTAGCTTATGGTTGGGAAGAAATTATTTTGAAAAATTATCATTTATTTTTGCGTGATAGCTCGCAGCATTAGGATCACTGTGATGTTGAAACTATGTGAAGATTACGTTAACGATTATTTTAATTATAAATATCATCAAAATTCATCTAAAATTTGATTTACATAGTTTAAGGTCGAAACTGTAACGGTCAGCTACAGCAACTGAATTCTGAATATCCCATACTGCACAAACTTTTAAATTGAGGCTTAACGCCATAAATCGGGGAAAGTTTTCTATCCCTGGCACTAATGAGGCAATAACCTATAATGTGCAATAGGGAACTAGATCAACTCTAGCTTGTTCCAGCTCGGATGACAAAACTTTTGAAACGTGTGACTTTGGGCTTAAACGATTTTTTCCCTGTGATGGTTCAACCTTGACTTTGGATACCTCTTGAAAACTGACAGAAATTAAGACACTTTTAACTGATTCAAAGGAACTGTAAGTGTAATTTCAAAAGTCCTTCTATGCAAAGATCGCAATGTTCGATTTACACTGGTACCCTTCAAACCTTAATCTGATTAAAAATGTGGAAGATACCGTCGTTTTTTCTGACGCGAAAAGTGTTTATTTTAATCCTTAGAAGCAAGAAAGGTCCAAGTCACTTTCACAGAGAAACTGCAAAAGAAAATAAACAGTTTAAAGAAACAAAAACATGGAGTACTAATTCATATTTGATTAGAAAAAGTTTTCAAGAATACCGCTGCAAATCGGGTATTGCCATCTTGGCATGGAGGGTCCCTTCAAGGGTCTAGTTAGGGTCCTGGGCGTAACAGTTTCTCCAGTAGTTATCATATTTAGCCGTTGAAGCGGATATTGGTATCCTATTTAACAGGTTCACCCTTATATAACAAAACCTAGTCACAGCTCTCAATATTTTTCTAAAGAGGAGAGAAGCTCCTTCAATCCTATTATTTTATATAGTTTTCATAACTCCTTGTTATTCTTATTCATGTATTTTCAGATAAAAATAAAATAAAAATGTCCACTAGACCTGCATTTGGGCTTAACAAGCTGGACTAGATACTTGTTATATCAGATAACAAGCTGGACTAGATACTTGTTATATCAGATAACAAGCTGGACTAGATACTTGTCATAACAGATAACAAGATCAAACCAAATTCTGAAATTAATCTTAAAAGTTCCGACAGACTTTAGACTTTCCTAAAATTGCTACGCGTAATCGGGTTGGTGCTTGGTTTGGTTTGGTTTGGTTAAGATTTGCTGGATACTAACCTTTAACTAAAAAAAATGCCTGAACCTAGTAATGATTACAGAGTTGTCGTCTTCGGTGCAGGAGGTGAGCTCTTATTTTATAGTTTACTAGACAACTAGTTTACTAGACAACTAGTTTACTAGACAAACTAGTTTACTAGACAACTAGTTTACTAGACAACTAGTTTACTAGACAACTAGTTTACGAGACAACTATTTTACTATTTTACTAGTGAACCAGACAGCTTCAGTATATCCAAAATTTAAGAAAACAATATAATTCTGTAGTTTTTGTCCCTTAACATAATTAAACAAAAGGAATTAATACGCTGTCGTGTATTTTCCCATGCTGTAAAAGGTTCAAAGTAGAATATATACCAGCTTAACGAAAATTCCCCATTGTATAAGTCTATATTTTCAGGAGTAGGTAAAACCAGTTTAGTTTTACGATTCATAGAGGGCACTTTCAGAGATGCATATATTCCAACCATAGAGGATACATACAGGTAGAGCAGCATTGATGCTTACATTCCAACCATAGAGGATATATAGGTTGAGCAGCCTTTATGCATATATTCCAACCATAGAGGAAATACAGGTATAGAGCAGCCTTTATGCATATATTCCAACCATAGAGGATATAAGACCATAGCAGGCTTGATGCATATATTCCAACCATATAGGATACATGAATGTAGAGAAGCCTTGATGCATATATTCTAACCATAGAGGATACTTGAATGTAGAGCAGCATTGATGCATATATTCCAACCATATAGAATACATGAATGTAGAGCAGCCTTGATGCATATATTCCAACAATAGAGAATACATGAATGTAGAGCAGCCTTAATGCATATATTCCAACCATATAGGATACATGAATGTAGAGCAGCCTTGATGCATATATTCCAACGAATACATGAATGTAGAGCAGCCTTGATGCATATATTCCAACAATAGAGAATACATGAATGTAGAGCAGCCTTAATGCATATATTCCAACCATATAGGATACATGAATGTAGAGCAGCCTTGATGCATATATTCCAACTATAGAGGATACATGAATGTAGAGCAGCCTTGATAATTGAGAAGTGTTAGCTTTTTAAAGTTGTTTTATTGCTAAGAAGAATGAATTATTTTTGGAGGATCAACACAAAAATATACGTTTATATATTTCAAACTTGATTTGATTTGAATAATTTTATGTTTTGAGAGGGAATAATCTAGATAAGATAGGTTTCCTTTATTATACAGATAATAAGTCTTCTACATTGATAACCAGAAAACTATGGAATAGAAAGTCGACTTTTGACTCAAGTTATGACTTTAAATAGTCCAATGAAGAAGAGACACAGCAATTGTGCAGTGTAAACAGACCCATTTCACGTAATTAGTGATTTAACAACTCACTGTAGTTTTCGAGCTTTCATTGCAATTTAACAAACTGAAAAATATGTTAAATCATGATTTTTGTGACTCTTTTTTATTCGCTTTTCCTTTAACCGTCATTAGAATTTTCATTGAAAATGTTTATCATTGTTCATTTTATAAAACAATTCTACGAAACCTCACGCCTCTCTTTTCATTCAAACCTTATTAAAGCTTTTGAAAAGAACCAATTAATGAGCTCTAATTAAGTCTTTACCTATAGAAATGCTTGTATAGTCTAAACATAATTAGGACATCCTTTCGAAGAATTATTTTCAAAAGTTTTCTTCATTCAAAAATCTAATCCTGAGATTAAAAACAAAACTCAACTTTTGTTTAGAAAAGTGATAAGTAGCAACAAGGCCGTGTGCACGCTACAGATCACAGATACAACAGGAAGTCACCAATTTCCTGCCATGCAGAGACTTTCCATATCTAAAGGTAAATTTCCTGCCATGCAGAGACTTTCCATATTTAAAGTTAAATTTCCTGCCGGGTATTTTTCGTTTCAAAGCTCTGTTATTTACGAAAGACTGGTTGCAATTAGAATCTATCTATCTATCTAAAGTTACAATATTAAATTCCAGGACTCTAAATTAAATCTTAATGAAATTTCTTCTTGATCAGTTCCAATCAAAAATTTATTGTTAAATAAATAGTTTTAATGATCCTGAAGATGCTGAAAATACAGGGTAATTGGATCAATTAATTTCTATATTATTATCTGGTAAACGTAAAAATATATATTTGATTATTTTTGTTATAATTTTGTACTAGCTGAAGTGCCCGGCGCTGCCCTTGGAATTTAAAAAAAATTTAAATTTAAAAAATTAAATTTTTTCGCCTATGTTTATCCCGGGTACCTATGAGTTTCCTAAAAAAAATAGCCAATCCTGTCCAGCCGTTTGACCAACTTTAAATTTTACTGATCTAGGAGGGGCTGATCCTTCATAGCCCCCCCCCCCTGCTTACGGCTCTGGCTAACACATATATAAAAAATATATATCTGAGCGAAGAGCTTTATTAAATAGATTAAAAAAGTTTCCGCGAAAACATCTGGATAAATTGTATCAATATCTTTTAATAGAAACATGAAAACTTTTTTATTAAAACAGTTTATAAATAAACCTAAATGTTATATTCTTTTGTATTTCCACTTGAAGGCACTGTATAGATGTAATTTCTATTAATTCTCTGTTTAAAGAGTGGAATGTCCTATTCACAGCAAATACCCATTAAATTTGGTCTGATGCAAAATGGATGAGCTCTTTATGTGTGTTTTTTTAAATTATAGCTTTTTGATAAAAGTGGCTTGAGGATTCACAATAAAGAAGCAAAAAATTAAATTCAGGAGAAGAAAGTTCTAAACCGTGCTTATGTTCCTTCCATACCTGGCACTGAGTGTCAGATTTGGGCACAAATATTATGTTCAATCAATCAATCAATAACTCTTCTTTTGCCGAGAGCAAACATTAATATTAAGGAAACTATTTAAGCATGACGAGAACTAAAAATAACACTGTTTACTTCTTTTATAAAATTAAAACTGTGAGTGATCGTTAAATTTCAATAAAACCCCAGATACCATTTTTTAAACAGTTCAAGGTTTTCCATTTTCGCACATATCACGAATTTTGAGTCTTGGACGCGTTTTGGAATATAATACAACTTTTGAAACAATCCATAATTTGGATTTGCTACAAAAATGTGACATGTTCTAAAAAGAAATCAATTACTACAAAAAATTAAAATTTCTTTATTTGTAGAGATTTAGTACTAAAAATGCAGCCTTAACTATTCTGAATTAAAGTATGCAGACGGTTTTTTTACTTTTTAACTTAAATTGACCAATAAAAATAATTAAAAAAGATAACTCTGCCCATTTGACCCAAACCTGACACTCAGTGTAAGGTCTGGGCACGGTTTGGAATTTTTTCACCTGAAATTGTCAAAGTTAGGATTTTGGAAGCTATAAAAAAAGAGGATATCTTTCATATCAGATAAACTCCTAGGGGCTACCGTTGTGCATCGGGCATGACCGGGCATCTTCTTATTTTTATGCCTATTTTTATTTTAAAAGATTTCTAAAATTGAGAACCAGAAAACAGTGGGATTTTAATAAAGTCTTCTTTTCCAGTTTAACTAAAAAATATTGTAAGGATGTTCTCCTTTAAAACTTAACTTTTTCTTAAAATCAATAGAAATAGTTAAGTTGGAAATTGCAAAGTCCTTCTAAGATAAAAGATAAAACTAAATCAACATTCATTCCACAGTTTTCTGGTTTTCACCAAAAATATAAAGTTTTCTAATAACTCTGACTACTCATCAGATTATCTAACAAAAGAGATAAAGTATTTGGAAATTAATATAATAAAAGTTTTTTTCCCCATTATTTTCAGGACACGCTTTTATTCTTGTTTACTCTATATCATCACGACAAAGCCTAGAGGAGCTGAAACCTATTCTAGAACTGATAGGAGAGGTAAACAGCTACAGGGTTTATCATTGTTAAATTAGGGTTTCCAATTCTAGAACTGATAGGAGAGGTAAACAGCTAGAAAGTTTCCCAATGGTCCTGGTTGGGAATAAATGTGATTATTTGTAAGTAAAAGGTGGACTTGAAAATTTCCCAATTGTCCTGGTTTGGAATAAATGTGATTATTTGTAGGTAAAAGGTGGACTTGAAAGTTTCCCAATGGTCCTGGTTGGGAATAAATGTGATGAAGAATCTGGGAAAAGAGAAGTGAGCACTAAAACCGGGGAAGCTTTACAGGTAAACAATATATACAGATTACATTACTAATTGTGGATTCTATTCCACACTCCTCTGCTCCCTCTCCCCTCTCCACTCTCTACACACCCTCTGATCCCCCCAACTCTCCACTATCCACACCCCTCTGCTCCCTCCCTCCCCCCTTCTCCACTCTCTACTATGATTTCTCCACGATTTAGTGACTTCCGCTTTTCTATTGCAGGAAAACTTTTTACACTTTTAACCACAAGATATCCCAAAGATTGATTAGACAAAGGTTTCATGGTATCGTTGTGAATCGGACATTGTCATCTTCGCATGTAGGGTCACTGGAAATAACGCATATACAGTTCCTCTAATTGTATATTTAAATCTTATTCCTTGTTGCTTTTAAACTGTAACATTACAATTGGGTACAAATAGATAAATTTNGAGTTTGTGGCAAAGACTTAATTCCTTTAGTTCTTTAAACCCAAGTTCCTTAGTATTAAAATCCGCAAAATTTTTTTCTTCTTTGTTTTAAAATGTAAACAAAAAGAACATGTTCACAATTTAAATAGAAGATGGGCGCGAAGCGCCCTAAAAGCCTAGTATATATATATATGAAATCTACAGTATGCGTATTAATAATGATGGAAGCTATTTATTATATTGTTGAGTGAGTATAAATGGTGGTTTATCTAATAAACCGGTAACAGTCTTGTGCCACTTTTCTCAGGTTTCTGAGCGCTTTAAGAGGCAGTGCCCAAAAATGTAGGTGCTACTAAAGTACTCATTTTAAACTATTAAAACTGTACTGTATGATGTCAGGGCTATTAAACTACATATTTGTCCTTGTAGTCCCATATCAGCTAACTGTGAGGGAATATTAATACCAGCCCAGAGTTGACCATTAGCAAACTGGCCAGTAACCACAGGGTGTCCAGGGATCAAAGCTAATAAAGGGTAAATTGATGAAGGACTTTTGAAAAAACTACTCCCCACCCGCTGTGAAAAGTTTTGAATTGGTTTAATCAATGTTTATAAGTCGAAATATTCTCGGGAGAATTGTGCTTTTAAGCCTATAAATATACCTGATGGTCTATGGAGAACCTATGGAACTAAAAATCTAGCCTCAGCAGGGTGACCAACTCTAAAAGATGAAAAATCCCCTAAAACTTTAAGAAAAATCCTTTTCATCCCAACACTCTTAAAGTTGTTACAACATGTTTTAAGTGTCTGCAGGCAAATATTATTACTTTTTAAACAAAATATTTAAAAAAAAGTGAAAGTTAATTATTAAAAATACAGGGTCAAAAAACGTAATTTAACTGATTCACAAATTCCCCAAAATTTCCCCAAATCCCCAAAGACTTTCAAAATCCCCAAATCTGCACTTTTAGGGGACGAAATCCCCAAGGTTGGTCAGCCTGAGCCTCAGTCTTGTTCCTAGCCGCAGTGAAAGAGAATGAAAAGAATACCACCCAGATATTTCTGTTTAATCAGGGAAAGCGTCATCAGCAAGGTGTTCCAGAAGATTTTGCACTCACAAGTTCGTCCTTGGTCTATATATGACACTGTGATCTTGCCAGGCAACATAAAACGTGGTAGGTCGACTTTACACTGTGTGACCAGCTGTACAGTTCGACTGAATGCATTTACCATCATGTAACTGTTAGATTGGGGAATATAATTTTGTCTTGGTCCAGGATAAAACTCAAGATATAATTGTTTTCTTGATGACAGATCGGCAATATTTTGGTCTAACCTGATATAGCCACCTTGAACCCAGACCCAAGGACCTAAAATTATGAAGGTTTGATGCTGATCACTATTACTGACTACATGGGACTGCTTGATGGAGCACTGCAGTTGTGTATTAGGTGTGCCAATATTAGAGGTTTGGTGGTCTGGTGGAGCCTCCTTGGACGACGTCCTTGGGGTTTAAATAGGTTATATTCGATGAAATACGTTTCATCTATTCACACAAACATTAAATATATGTAAAATGATTAAGATCCTATGTCTGGATTAGTTTTTATATAAAAAAATTAGCAAATTGTTTAAAAGTTTTCATCTTTTATTACGCATACTGTATTGATTTTTAATCAATGTTATGTAAATGTACTTATATGAAACATATTGATTTTTAATCAATGTTATGTAAATGTACTTATATTAAACATATTGATTTTTAATCAATGTTATGTAAATGTACTTATATTAATCATATTGATTTTTAATCAATGTTATGTAAATGTACTTATATTAAACATATTGATTTTTAATCAATGTTATGTAAATGTACTTATATTAAACATATTGATTTTTAATCAATGTTATGTAAATGTACTTATATTAATCATATTGATTTTTAATCAATGTTATGTAAATGTGCTTATATTAAACATATTGATTATTAATCAATGTTATGTAAATGTACTTATATTAAACATATTGATTTTTAATCAATCTCCTAGTACTAATTGCATTTATTATCTATGTATCCTGATTCTTCTATCTCAACAGGGTTAAACAAAGCTTTGTAATCTTTGGAATTTTATTTTAAGAAAAAAATGTTGTAAAAAATCATCAGCACTGGAGTACTACTGGAGATTCCGTCTCATAGGAGACCCCGATCTTTTCATTGGAGATCCCAGATTTTCGTAGTAGACCCCCGAGTTTTTCATTGGAGACTCCATATTTTTGTTAGAGAACCCAAACTCTCCATGGGAGACCCCCGGATTTTAATTGGAGTCACCTAAAATTTCATTGGAGACCCCCGATAATTTCATTGGAGACCCCTGATAATTTCATTGGAGACCCCCAAGATGTTCATTGGAAAAATTGGGGTCAAAAACAAAAAGTGGGGACTTAAAATGAAAAGTCAGGGGTCTAAATCAAGTGGTCTCCAATGGAAATTGTAGGTTTAAAACGAAAAGATGTGGGTCTTCAATGAAAATATTGGAGTCTTTAACTAAAAGTTTGGGTCTTCATTAAAAATAATGGGTTCTCCAATGAAAATCGGCGGTTTAAAACACTAGATGTGGGTCTTCAATGAAAATCTTGGGAGTCATGTAAATCTGGAAGTCTCCATTGAAAATCTGGGTTCTCCAACGAGATGTCAAAGGGATTCTCCAATTAAGTACTTTAATGCTGATGATTTTTCCCAGGCTTAAAAAATAGATCTTTATGCATTTTTTGTTCCACACAAACATACAGCATGATTTTTAGTAACACAACTTTGATTTAAATGGATTGTAAGAGTAATTTTATGTGAAAATTTATCAAAAATGGGAAAGATATTGTCGTTTTCTAGGTTTACAATTAATACAAAAAATTAGTTTTCAAAATTATAAAAATTATATTATAATTATATTATAATTATATTATATAATATTTATACATAATCAGGCAAAGGTTTAAAAGTACAGCTGTGTATAAACTATGAATGAAACTGAAAAGCAAAAAAAACTTAAAATGATAGATAAGGGAATTCATAATGTATACTCATGTTCAGTTTTAAATACAGGACCACCTTTTAAACAGTTAGGGAAAGTTGTTCAGTATACAGACTAATGACACTAAAATGAGACAATAGTTCATGTCAATATGCATCATCGTCTTTAAAGATATCTATGGGTTAAACCCCCCCCCCCCCCACCCTTTTGAAAAAGCTCTGAACTGCCTATGTTTCTACCATATACGTGATTTTTTGCTATATCCTAGAGTAAATATAGAATTCAATAGAACAACTCATTATTATTTTCTTATAAAACACTAACTGCGCAATAACAAATAATAAGAAAAATCTGATATATTTTCTTCTCTAGAATATGTGGAAATGTAAGTATATCGAAACCTCTGCAAAGAATAATGTGAACATTACAGAACTATTTGAGGTGAGTCAAAATAAAAAGACAAGTTCAAATTTTTTATTTTAAATTCTCCGTTTTCAATCAAATCTTTTTATTTCCACTAGCTTGGGAAACTAGTTTTACCTAGAAACTTATGTCTCTCTGTACAAGCCAGCACACTCAACTTAAAATTTTAAAACCGAGCTGCAAAGAAATTTACGCGGTTTTACCAGTTCCCCAATCAAAATGGTGTCCGAGCATAACACTTGAGCCCCTAGCTCAAGTGTTATGCTCGGACACCCAAACAAACAGCAAAACAGAGATTACTACTTTATATGATGCAGGGTTCAACAAAACTACAAAATAATCAAACATGGCATATTTAAGTTTTGAACTCAGTAGCAATAAAATGCTTTACAAAACAGAAAACAACGATATATTTTGATAAAAATTAATATTTTGATTATTATTAATTAATATTACGATTATTTATTTACTTTTTCTACAAACTCATTTTATAATTTAACATTTTAAACAATTGAACTTTTCTAGGGGGATTTTACACATATTTGAACAAAAAACACAAAAAACTCTACATTTCTTACATAGAATCACAAGAAAGCTTTTTTACCGCTCCACGATATAAGCAATAAATATCGAATTTGGCATCTTTTGTTTTGGAGATCGGGTTGTTTCAAAACGAAACGAAAAAAATCGTTTTAGAAATCGGTAACGACTTTTTTATTCTAACACAGGTAAAAATTTAGTTTTCGTTTTAAATTGGAAAACGAAAAAAGTTTGTTTTTCGTTCTACTTCTGAAAACACTTTCAGAACAAAAAAGACTGTTAGAAGGCGAAAAAGTTTAAACACACTTCTTGTTTGTTAAAACACACTTTGCTTGGGTGTTCTGGTGTATCCAATAAACATCAAAACGGCTGAAACGATCAAGCCTAAATTTTGTGTGGGACTTCACATATCCCAAAGAAAGTTTATAGATGATAAAAATTTCAAAAATTTGCCTCCAACCAAATTCGATTTTCATTAAATTTTGAAAATCTACGAATTCTTTTATAGATTTTTTTTTTTACAATGTTTACAAGGAAAACATGTTCACGATTGAAATATAAGATGGGCGCGATGCGCCATAGAAGCCTAGTTATATAAAGGACACCCGGAACATTTTCAATTTGGTAAACATTTTCCGAGATTGGAAAATAATTTTCCAAATAAATATAAATTATATAAACATAGGAGCTGCTGAAGCTTGAATCCACTAGGACGCTCTCCCTTCAACCTCTGGAGGATACGGAGAAAAAGAAGAAAATAAAGGAGAAATGTTTAATCATGTAAAATACTGTAAAACTGTACGCTGTACACTGTACTCTGTACATACTCTGTACGCTGTACTCTGTACGCTGTACTCTGTATGTTGTACTCTGTACACTGTATTCTGTACGCTGTACTCTGTACGCTGTACTCTGTACTCCGTACGCTGTACTCTGTACGCTGTACTCTGTACGCTATACGCTGTACGGTGTACGCTGTACTCTGTACTCTGTACTCTGTACTCTGTGCGCTATACGCTTTACGCTGTACTTTGTTCGCTGTACTCTGTGCACTGTTCTCTGTACGCTGTACTCTGTACGCTGTACTCTTTACGCTGTACTCTGTACGCTGTACTCTGTACGCTGTACGCTGTACGCTGTACTCTGTACACTATACTCTGTACGCTTTACTCTGTTCACTTTAACCTGTACAATGTACTCTGTACACTCTAACCTATACAGTGTAGTCTGTAAAGTATATTCCAAAGGAAATCTACAATGATTATGAGAATTATTATTATGATTCAAAGTCGTCTTTAAAGGGACCGTTAGGGTAAAATGAAAGGGCCGGGGTATGCTTAAGCCTAAAAACTTTAGAAGTTGATCGCGACCATTTTTAGTTGATGTCCCTGCCCCGAGAAATTGGTATAAAACTGTGTTGGAGTTATACAAAAACTCTAATTTTTATCATTTTTAGGTTTTAGCCTATACCCCTTTCATTTTACCTTAACAGTCACTTTAATCAAAGCGTTGTAAAATGAATCATTGATCAGTGCACACATTCTCTAAAAAAAGCTAAAAATCTACATGTAATTATCTAATTATCTTTAATTTTCTAATTATCTTTAATTTTCTACTAATCTTTAATTTTCTAATTATCTTTAATTTTCTAATTTTCTTTAATTTTCTAATTATCTTTAATTTTCTAATTATCTTTAATTTTCTAATTATCTGAAATTTTCTGATTTAACGAATTACGATCGTTTTCCCCGTTTAATTCAAAATATTAGAAAATTAGAAAAATGATATCCTACGTGCAATCGTCTAATTTGTTAAAAACTGTTTATGAAAAAAGACGACCTTTCCTGATTATTAAATTCTCAATTTTGCTGTAGATCTCTGAATATATCTTCAAAAATTACCAAAAATGTTTCAAGGATTAAGAGAAAATGGTTAAACATCGAAGCTTGCATGTCTTCCTTTCTAAATGCTGAAAAATATTATATTTAAAGGAACTGCGACGTAATTTTAATTGACCCTCCATTTTAAGAATTTTCTGCCTGAATCACAACGTTTATATGAGTATGAATGAGGAAAATTGTATTTACTTTTTTACAATTCCTTTTTTCCTAAAGCTTAAAATTTAAAATTAAAATAATTGAGCAAAAACTATTAATTTGATATTTAGGTACTAAAGACAATCTTCATTCTTAAAACTTGAAGGTGGCACGTTAACTCGTCTTTAAACCTTTTAGATTGTATTTATAATTCTTAAAAATAATGCATTCAAAATGAAAAAAAATAATTGAATTATTCTTTAAACCTACAAATAAAAAATCCATTCGTCCTATATAAAAAAAGATGCAATGAAATTGTATTCATAACAGATTAAAAAAAATAGTTTTTAAGTTTTTTTGCCTTTAATGCGATTTTATCTATGAATCTGTTTATTTCTGGTACTGCAGTTGTTTAAATAAAACACTGAGAATTGACCAAAACTTAAAAGAAAAACTAAGACGATATCGAAGACGACAATAAACATCAACAAGTATTATGTCTTAAAAAATATTTCCTTTTTTTAAGTCAAAAGCATATTTGGATACTTCATGGGTCATAATCTTATCCAATAAAAACAGTTATAATATGATAAACCCTTGACGTATATTTAAATTCATATCGTTGATATTGTTTATAATTACTAAAAAGTATGATTTTTTTGCAAGAGTGTTTTTTTCATGATCTATTTACAAACATTGTTTTTGTTTTATTATGATACCTAGCTGTGAAGTAGTTTAAAAGTAAAGAAAATGCAGTTTTTAACAGACAGTTCGAGGAGGTTTTTTCTAAAGAAACATCGGATAGGAATAAATTAGTACGTGTTAACTTTTTTTAGATTTTCTCCTTTTCTTCAAAAGTTCATGACCCCCCCTCTCACATAATTTCCGCAGTTTAAATTATTGTTACATATATTAACTTTATTACTATATCTATATATATACATACATATGTGTAAAATCTCTACAAAGTAAATATTGTGCTTAGTAAGCTTAGCAAACGATATTTTTATTAACAATATCTTATAAAAGAAGGTCTATTCTTTATAAAAACTATAGAACATGTTCTTTTAACCATAATAATGTTGTATAAATTCCAAACCTGTTCTTGCTTGAAATAAATTTTAAACCCAAATATATTTTTTTTATCCTGATCCATTCTTCTCTATAATGAAATATTTTTACTGAATAAGTGCATAAATTAAATATATTCCTTCCTCTCTTCCTTCTTATTGAGAAATATCGTGTTTCTGAAATTTGAGATTTTTTTGAGAATGAATATATCTTATAATATTAAAATAAATGTTTGTATATATATATAGTCCATATCGAGGTAATTTCCTAGAGAACGATTTTTGGCCCCGCCCCCCTCCAACCAATTTTGTACATGGATCTCATATATAACACATGGAGAAAATTTGTCATGTAGCCGTAGCGCTCGACCCCCTAATCGGTCTTAGCCGCGGCCGGCCCCATAACCTGTCCTAGCCGAAGTGCTCGGTCCCTAGCCTGTCCTAGCCTAGCGCTCGCCCTAGAAATTGTCTTAACCTAACCTAACCCAAAAATAATAAAAATAAATTATATTAATTTGGCTGAAAATTAGTGGTCATGTAAAAAATTGATAGGAGGGGGGGGGGGGTCCAAAAATCGTATACAAGGACTGACCCCCATATCAATACTTAAAACATAATTTCTCTTTAAAAAAATTTCTTTTGTTTGAAAAATTTTAACAAATTATTAATGCTGTGTGTGAAATAAATCTGAATAAAAATAAGTAATGAAGTTTTTTTATTCGATTATATATCATATATATTATAAATATGTACGTTATGGGAAATAACTTGGTTCAAGTTATTAAAAATTTAAAGATTTTTGGACTTGTTAAGGTTCAACAAAAATGTGAGAAATTTTACAAATTTCAAAATTGCTTATTCTTAACATCTGCTTTCTGCATACAGTTTTATCATACGAAAAGAAATATATGCAAGAACCCAGTTATTTCTTAAACATAATTTTTTTAGTACAGAACAATTTGAAAGTAACGTAAAAAACATCAACATTAAAAAATTGATCTTCATTTTTTGTAAGTTTCATACAATTTATTTTCCGTTCGTTACCAATTTCAAAATTAACTGTTTTTTTCCTTTCGTTCACGGACTCTTCCGTAAATTTAAAAAACTTTCGTGAACGGACTCTTCCGTAATTTTAAGAACTTTCGTTCGCTAACAGAACGTTTCACAGCCCTACTTTTAGAGAGATTAATGTGAATTATTCCTCTAAAAAAAATAGGTAAATTCTGATTAATAGCAAGAATTATTAGTTATAGTTGAAGTACTACTTCTTCTGCCACATTGGGATAGTTGTTCAAGTATCCGTACCTAGTTCAACTACTTCAAAAATTTGGGGAATATCCCCCTCCCTGGAAAGTGCACAAGCTTGTAACGAATTAAACTTTTTTGTTGTTCTCAATTCATAGTATAATTTTTAAAAAAGTGCTCAAAGAAAAAGACGACATTTTCACTCATATTGTAATTTTCTAATCTATCAGGATAGAACTCGCAGCGAAAAAGGTTTACTTTAAATATGACCTTTGGGAGACGAATTTTATTCTGCTTCATCCTTAATTTGTTTACAAGTGATCTTAAATATAAAGGAACTGAGTTTTGCCACAAACTCTGATTTTTAATTCCTATATTCTGTACAACCCGATGCAGTAGACCTTTTATATTTCAAACTATCATTTACATCATCAGGTTGAAGAGGACTAAGGATTAGAAAATTTAAGTTTGTGGCAAAAACTAAATGTATTTATCTATAAAGTAATCTCTGCTTGTTTGAATGTCCGATTAGGAACCCCTTGACCGATTTGCCTCAAATTTTGATTGGGAAACTCGGGAGATCCACGGGAGTGTTCTTAATTTGGTTTTGAGATTTTAGTTTAAGTGAGTCGACTTTTACATAAAAAAATAGCTAAAATCTTAATTTAAGACAAAGCTGTATACAATCATAAAGGTTGTCTTTTACAAATATTTACACTATGACGCAATGCGTTTTTCCTTCAATAATGAAAATCACTTAGCCAAGAGATTACGCTGCAATTTAAAACAAATTGGTCACTCTCCCTGGAAAGCTGGGGGAGGTTTTGTTAAAATGGAGTTGGTCGCATAAAATGTTATGTATTACAGCTGCATAAAGGGAAAGTAGTAAAATGATTTACTATGGTCTGAACAGATAAATTATAGTTGCATAAAGGGAAAGTAGTAAAATGATTTACTATGGTCTGAACAGATAAATTATAGTTGCATAAAGGGAAAGTAGTAAAATGATTTACTATGGTCTGAACAGATAAATTATAGTTGCATAAAGGGCAAGTAGTAAAATGATTTACTATGGTCTGAACAGATAAATTATAGTTGCATAAAGGGAAAGTAGTAAAATGATTTACTATGGTCTGAACAGATAAATTATTCAGATTCATGTTATATAGACTATTGAGTATATTTTTAAGCAATATAAATAGAATTTAATTTATTACATAATTAATGTTAATATAATTATATATCATCATGCAATTATTAATAAGAAGACCGTTAACAAAATATCCATGGACGAGAAAAAAATGGCCGCGAGCACTAAGATTTTAGTAAAAACGCTCGGAACATATTCTTTCTTTTTAATAATTATTAATTGCATAATCAATATTCAAACATAATCAGATTTAAAGAATTCAGATGATTGAGTTAATAAGATGAATACATATCTATATATTAACTCTCTATATATATATATCGTATCTGTAAGTTTTACATAGAAATGTACATTGAACTGTAACATGAATAATTAAGAAGTACATAACACGATGTTTATTCTTGCCAAGATTAAATTATATAAATTTTAAAAAGGAGAGTTCGCAAACAAGTTGAATTCAAATTATAAAAATTGACCCTTTTTGTGACAATATTTTGATGGTGAAAATGATGTTTAATACCGTAGTATTTATAGGTATAGAAAAGTTAGGCTTATTATTTTGTGCGAATCATTAATGAAAAAATTAGGAGCGCAACGAAGGTGGCCTGTCCAAGTGAGAAGCCGAAGCACCTCAGCCTTACCGTTAAAATATACCGTTTTTAAAAACTATTGCGCTATTTGCATTAAAAATACATTTTTTCATCAATCATCTATTTTACTAATTGTTTTAGTAACTTTTAGCTTAAATCCCAAACTCCTCTGTTTGCGAATTCTCTCTTTTTCCCCTCAGCATTCCCTGAGCGCTTCCATGTTTCTAGACGGTACATCACGTGACGAGAAGGTTCTAGTTTACTTGTTCTCTCTGTAAAATCCGCAAAAAATCTCAAATTTACAAATGTACCGTCTTAAACCCTGGAAAATGAGACTATTGATGTATTTGTATTATTGAAGTGCCATTAAATATCAAGTATAGTGCATGTTATATTCAAGGCAACTGTAAACATTAAACCAATGTTTAGAAATGATAGTTTTAAGTGTATTATTAAAAACAAATAGTGAGCGTGTTAGAATATCGAATGTCTTTACAACAGCACTTCCAACTCATTTCTAGATATTATGGAAAACTATTGTGAATACAAATTTTGGGAACATAACATGTTTAATAATAAGTATTTATAGAAATTTAAAAGATGAAGCATTAAATATATTCTCCTTAATTTTCGTTGTTTTTGGATCAATTCTTTTTATAAAATATTCTATACAACCCCGCCACAAGAAAAAAATATTCATAACTATTCCCCTCTCATAGCATTTGATCTCATGTGGAATTTAAAATAATATTTGAGATTAACTTTACGAAAGGTCCTGGGATCGATCCAAAAAGATTTTTCATCAAGTCACAAGCTACATGAAAATAATTAACTTTATTTTTTACCATCTTTATGGGAGTTGAGGTTTAAACATTTTCCAAACCAAACTGGAAACCTTGGTTCCAGAAATATTGAACAGCAAGACGTCGTTGAACTATGTAGAATTAATTAAACCACTTCTCTTCAACTTAAATTCCACTTAGTCTACGTAGTTAAACTTATTGTCGCTATTCATGTACATCTGGGGGTTGATAAAACATTCTGTACATTATTTAAACAGCATAACGCACAGAATAAATTGAACTGGTGACATACGAGGCTTATTGAACTTTGAAATTATCTTTTGAAATGACTATATATATATATATATAGAAAAAAATTGTGATTCATTCTAATTTTTTTTTATAAATCTTTTAATTCCGACACTAGAGGCAAAATATAGAAGAAAAGAGGATTTCTACAATTTACATAAGAATTTGAATATTTCTGAACGCGATTAATCTTATTTAATGATTGTACTGCCGCTACTGTAGGGATTCAGAAAAATTAGGTACAGTGTACTGTTTACTTATTGTACATAATATATATTCACTGGCTATTTAGAGTTTACATAGATATATGTGCTGTACAGTAACTAATAACTGTACAATGTACCCGAATTACTATAAATTAATTATTGACTGTACATGCTTAAACTAATTGTAAAGTATATACACTAATTGTACAGCATGTACGTACAATGTACAGATTGTTCAATTTTTTTAGAGCAAATTTTCTTTTAAACAGAAGGAATTGAGTCTTTGCCACAAACTTAAATATTTTAATCCCTATATCTTTGTAAACCTAAAATATTTCAAACTTAGAATATTTGATCTAAAGGAATTAATAGTTTGAAATATTCAGGGTCTGCGACATTGGGTTGCAAAGATATAGAGAGTTTGTGACAAAGAACAAATTCCTTTAAAGTCGCTTATTACATCAACACTGGTTAGGGTTTCAATGATAAAATTCTTAGAGATGTCCTTTCTTTAATTAATAAAAGGTAAGGTTAAGTAGAATGTGGTATCACAGAATAAATAAAAACGTTTCTATAATTCAGATTGTTGAATATATTTATATAATGTACTTTAAGGGACTGATGTTGTAATTTCAAGTGAACTTTAAAATAAAGATGAATACGATCCATTCACAAGGTTACAACTGTATAATTATAATTATACAGATCCCAAATTGATATTTTTTTCCAATTGGGATTTATCTTTATATGTGACTATTGGATTTAAATGCACAACAGAAACAATGAAAACGACGATATCAGGCTCATTCCTGCTCAAATAGATATTTCCATCATAGCATTTCAAATCAGTCATGTGTCTCTTTAATTTGAGGGTCACTTGCAATTTCGTCGACAGTCCCTTTAGTAGTAAATTTTACTTTAAATTGTACTGAACTGTACAACATAATGCCTGGTTAAATGTACAATATTAGACGTTAACCCTTAATTGAAATGATTTAGAAAAATCAAAGCTTTACAGTTTTTAAATTGACTCGTTCCATCTTTTAATGCTTGAGTTCAATAGATCTCCATGTTATTGTTATAAAGGTTTTAAACACAGATTACTTAGATAGATACAAGATAGATAATTTTTGGGTTAAACAACTTTTTTTTACGGTCTTTACTTCCTTCCCCAACCCATTTACTGCAGTTTATACAATGGATTATCAAAAAGCTGTAGAATAGGAAGACGACATAAAAGCAAAACTTAAGTGCTTTTCATAGTGATAAAAAGCAAATAGTTTTTCTATAGTACGTTATTAAATCACTTATTTAGTGAAATGGGTCTGATTACACTGCAATTGCTGTGTCTCATGTTCTTTGGACTAAATAAAGTCATAAATTGAGTCTCAAAGTCGTCATCCTATTCTGGTTTTTACTATTCTACTACACAACTATAAACACCATGCATCAAATAACGAGACTTAAACCCTCTTAAACTTTTTTCTTTAAAACGTAAGTTTTAAAAATTCAAAGTACTTGTGTATTCAGTAATGAAGGAGTATAGGGAAAAATCCCCAAAATGTGCTTATTTTAGTTTGTGAAATTGAAGCGTTAATGAATGCAGAAAATTACACCAATGGAGGTTTAAAATTTCCGAAAGTAAAAGACCTAAACTAGCATAAAATTTATACAGTTCAATCTGAGTAATCTGTGGTTTTACAGAAAAAAAGGTTTATAAATAATGATAGGATCCTGCTTAAACTGCATTGCTGATATACCCCCTAGATTCTCTCTATCTAACCCCTGAAATAACACAGTATTAGAATACTAACATATAACCCTGGTTCAAGACATGACACAGGGGCGTATACAGGAATTTGTCCTTGGAGGAAGGATTTTTTTACACTTCAGGATCAGATGATCAGTTTCTGTTAGTGATTGTTTTCCCTAATCAAGGGGGGGGACTGTACACCCATAACCCCCCTGGGGGGAGGGGCTGTAAACCCATAACCCCCCTGTATACGCCTCTGATACCTAGTCCACGTACTCTAGGCTGGCAGTTTCCACGTGCCTGTAGGCGATCCAGTACACGAGGTTGAAGATGAGGAAGATGGGAGGGGAGAGCCACATCGTCCACGCGTCTATATTGTCACACAGCGCGCGCTTGTGTGCACTCAACGTGTCTCCCTACAGAGTAAATATATTTATCAATTATTTTCATCAAAATCATTTCGAACTGTAAATAAGGGTGGGATGAGTTGGCAATTTTTTAAAACAAATGTGTAAATCCTTTCTGCACGTGTCTTTAAAGTTTCTATAATAAAAAAGCAAAAAAAAAATGTTAATTTTTTTCGTCTCACTTTTAAATTTTTGCAGCGAATCACGTTTTTGTAAATAATAAATCCCAAGTGCAGCAAGCTATTTTTTTCTCTCCAAAATATGTCGATATGGATCCCAAAAAATCTGCCTTGAAACATTGAATTCGGAAATGTAAAATCATATAGAAATCGGTTAAAAATTGAATAAGTTATAGGCCAATCAACCAACAACTGGTCAATATTCACTAGTTAGAGGCACAACTTTAGACAACCATATCGACATGCTTAGACAAATTGAAAAATCGACCTCTCTTTGTGATTGTTGATTTTTAAAAGAGCTTGCGCTGATCCATTTAAAAAATGAACGATTTTTGCTGCGTATTGGTAATTTTTGAAGAAAAAAAATCACAGTGTCCCACTCCCAGGATTACTACAAAGAGAAATTAATCTAAATATAAATTGAATTCTAGTGAATATTTATTCAAGCACATTGAGTTAGATATAAATTATGGAGACCGGGGAAGAAAATGCTACTAGACTCTCTGTTTAAATTACTGATTCTGTAAGAACATTGTGGATATTAAGTTTAACCAGAGCTAATAAAAAAGTTGTAACCTGTGCAAAAAACGAATAAAGCGAAGCTAGATAAAAATATGATCGAATGCTAGGTGGGATTAAAATAACAATGACACCAAGGAGTACACCAAGAAGTACAACAAGGAGTACACCAAGGAGTACACCAAGGAGTACACCAAGAAGTACAACAAGGAGTACACCAAAGAGTACACCAAAAAGTACACCAAAAAGTACAACAAGGAGTACAACAAGAAGTACAACAAGTAGCACGCCAAGGAGTGCATCAAGCAGTACAGCAATGAGTAGACCAATCAGTACACCAAGGAGTACATCAAGGAGTACACCATGGAGTACACCAAGAGCACTTCAAGGAATACACCAAAGAGTACACCAAGGAGTACACCAAGGAGTACACCAAGGAGTTCAACAAATAGTACACAAAGGAGTACAGTACAACAATGAGTACAACAAGGAGTACACCAAGGAGTACATCAATAAGTACGCCAAGAAGTACACCAAGGGATACACCAAGGAGTACACCAAGGAGTACACCAAGCAGTTCACCAAGGAGTACACCAAGGAGTACACCAAGGAGTACACCAAGGAGTACACCAATGAATTCACCAAGAAGTTCAACAAGGAGTTCAACAAGGAGTACACCAAGGAGCACACCAAGGAGTTCACCAAGGAGTACACCAAGGAGTACACCGAGGAGTACACCCAAGTGTACACCAAATTATTCTTTCATCAATCTAATGTGATATGTAATAAACGTATAAATTCTTATTTTACTTTGTTTTTAAAAATTTGAAAATTTGTTCAATAGCTGCAACATACAGATGTGAAATGATTTGCTCCTGTAACATCGTACATTGTATCTACATGTAGAAGTCACAAGGTACATTGTTAGTATTAGATTTCCCAAAGATAATTAATTCATAGTTTATGAAAAAAAATCTTTCATACATATATTCTCCTTTAAATCAAGGTCAGTACACAAGAAAACTAATCTTTATTTACATAAATAGTGTACTGCAAATTATGGCAGTAATAAAATCAACCCAAGTTCTGAACAGTTTTGTTTACGTTCCTCCCAGAAAGTGCAGTAAACTTTATATGTAAACAAATATATGAGGGCTCCTGGCGTATCTTCCTTGCTTTAAACACTAAACATGAAATGTACGAGACAGCTGGCCCAGAATATCTATTGATGCATCTACAAACTACAGAGACAAAAAATTAGCAATAAAAAATTTCTAGAAGCTCGGGACAAATTATAATCTAAAAATATTTAAACCTTCTCTATAAAGAGAAAATTTCTGTTAAAAAACTTTATAGCACTGCGAACCAAAATAAAAGTATTATAAATAGTTAATATCATGAATAAGTACGTTATTTAAATTCTTATAAAACATAATAAAAAAGCACAATAACTTTGTTTTGCAAATAAAAGTTTAAAGAATATAAAAAGTAACAGATTAACAAAGAAAATAAATGATTAAACATTAATGAACTTTAAAAATATAGATAAACATATAAAACCATTTTAACTGTAAGGTGAACACTCTAAACAGTGCAAAAATAAATTGACCCTTTATTGAAGAAAGTGCCCGGATGAAGGTACCATTAATACCTGGTTGAGAAACTTTTGTTTTTCTATTTGAAAATTCAAAGTTTTTAACAGGGTATTTTATATTTTAAAAATAATTTATAAAGAATAGAATATATAAAATTTTCAGAAAAGACGAAGAAGAAAATCGATTATCTTATTTTAGTTTTGCATTTAATTGGTTTTAAGGACACGGCCTTGAATAACTGATTGTACATTTAATTTATGTAAACAGTCCCTTTAATAAACTTTTTACAATGGGCTACAAGGGAGATAAGGAGAGGGGGGGGGGGGAAGGATAAAATTAATTAAAAGATATATTTGAAAACTGGAGTTTGAAAAAGAGAAGAAAGTGCAGCTGCTCCATTAATTCTCTTCAATTATATTGTTCATCAAACAAGGAAAAAACAAATAGAAAAAAAACATACAGATTTAAGAAAACGTTAGAGGGATAGGAGAGAATGTAGGAGAGAATATAGATGGAAAAAGAACGATTTGGAAAAAAGGAAGGAGAGAAAATGAAGGAAAGGAATAAATCAGGCAGAAAGAAAGGAAAAAGCAGAAAGAAAGGAAAACGCAGAAAGAAAGGAAAAAGTAGAAAGAAAGGAAAAAGCAGAAAGAAAGGAAAAAAACAGAAAGAAAGGAAAAAGCAGAAACAAAAGAAAAAACAAGAAACAAAGGAAAAAGCTGAAAGAAAAGAAAATGCAGAAAGAAAGGAAAAAGAAATATTAGGAAGTCAGGAAAAAAATAGGGAAAGAAGGAATTAATGGAAAGATTTTAAAGGAAAAAGAAGGAGAAAGGCATAAAAGAAAACAGGAGAAGATTAAATAACTATGCTTTTGTAAAATATACTAGATATATTTTTTCTACTTTCTGATTAAAACGGTTTTATAGTTGATAACTACTAAAATAAATAAATGTGTATATAACTACTACGGGGCATATACGAGACAAAACAGTAATATTCCGAATACTAGACAACTTAATACGGACACATTCATTTAACCTTATATTCAGCGGTGTAATAGCCCTCGGAGGAAAGCTGAAAAGAAGAAAAATGATAAAAACCCTAAATATTGACAAATCTCCCCATGGTCCATAGTAGCTTTTCATAAAAAATATTTTTCTTACAAAAAAAAACTCTTGAACAATTACAAACTAACCCTTTATTAATGTGCTAACAATATGTCTAAAGTAATATCCTCTAAACACATGCTTTCTTTCCATTTATGTTTTCAGCTAGACTGTCCAACCTAATACCTGATTTTATATAAGAGAGGTGCAGGTGTCTTAAAATTTTGAAATTTCTTATTTTATTAATGTTTTATAGATATCAACTTAGTGGTAATATCATTTGTTTTATAAGTACAATTGACTGCGATGACTGGTGTTAATGAAAAATACTTGTTTTGCATGCTTTTAACTTTAACATAAGAAAATGCGTAATAATCTCTAGTTATCTCCAATAACCTTTCTTTATTACGATGAAAATATGATGACTTTAAAATCAACAGTTTACATTGTTATCGGAAAAAGGAGCGCGAAGAAAAGTTTAGTTTCTTTAAATATTGTTATTCAAATCTAGGAATTAAATCTAAGGGCTAGATATGACTATTTTGTCCTTGCAAATTGTTGAAAAATAGGTATGAGGGCTATTTTAAATTTACAAGAACTACTTCAGCTACGAATCTCTGTGTTTTTTGGAACAGTTTAATTGCTGGCGAGTGTTATTTGACATTTTAGTTGGATCAAATAAATCCAGGTTTATAAATAGATTAAACATAAACTTTCAACAATCCTAAATTTGCAAAGGTACAATATTTTTTATTTCCGAATATAAAATGAAAGAATGTCCATAAACTATAATATGTACTATTGAACTGTTTAATTTAACGTCTCAAAAATGCTTATGCCACGCACCTCTGCCCCTTTAGTAAAAGTAAATTCAACCCATATAAAGCATAAAGTCTGACCACGTCAACCTTGTTACACCGGCTAGTCCTGTCCATAGAGCTAGGTACAGTACAAACTGGGACCGAAAAGGTTGACCCGGCTCGGAAATTCAAATGTTCTACAGCTGCCCGTGATGCAGAACTAACACAATGATGACATTTTGTAACTTTATATTAAAATGGTTAAACAAAATTGTATTTCAGAAATGCAACAAGTTTTGAAAACCTAAAATCTAAAGCTAGGAACTGAACACTTGCCTCAAACTCTAATCTTTACACATGTCTAGGACCTTTTATATTTTTAAATATTATTTATGCTAGAAACAGAAGTCATTAGTTAAAGTTAAAATACCATAAGTTTATGCCATCAGGTTAAAAAGATAAAAACTATGGCAGGCATTGTTTTGGGAAAAAAATATTTTTAAAAAATTGCAAAATTAATGTGAGTAGGAGTATAGAAAACCCAAATTCAAATAACTTATTTCGAAAATATGTTGGTCCAAGTTCCGAGTAGAATTTATTTTGTTTACAGAGGAATTTTATAAATAATTCCTGGTACAATTTAATACAATAAAACTCATTTAGATGCTGCACACATGGGTTAACAGGAGGGGAGGTATCACACTCACACACAAAACGAATTAATAAAAAAAAATTTGCACAAAAAATGGCTGATTCTGGATTATTCCATGTTATAATTTAACACATTAGTATCACCCAAAGAGTGTTAGATTTGAGTAGAGAGGGGGAAAGGGTTGTTTACATTCCACTGTGACGTAATAGGACAACTCAAAAACAAGTTTTAATTCAAACAATCATCATTAAGTAAACAATGATAACTCAGGGACAGGCCGGATTTTGTGAATTGGATCACCTTGTAAGCTATAACTTTTTAAGTCTGCAAAAAAAGGCATATGTGATACTTTTAAATCCATGTAAGATTAGAAAGAAGTGTGTAATGTATAAATTATATGTCTTCCCTAACTCCTCTCCTAGCTCTTTTCTTAAATCTATATATTTGTATGTCGACTGTAAACAGAAGCAAATTAATTATCCGCCCCATTAAGCTTTAATTTTATTCGAGATCCGCATTCAGTTTAGAGGTTTAGAGGTTTAGAGGTTTAGAGGTTTAGAGGTTTAGAAAAGAAATCTTAAACATGAAGCAGAGCGACGAGATTGCATGTGTGTATGTGAGTAACGGTTTTTGCCGTTCGTTAACGGAATCTTCCGTTAATTTTCGAAAACCTCCGTTTCGTTAACGGAACTTTGCCCAGCCCTAGGGCTATGCAGAGTAGTGCTATACATCCTCAGATCAGATCCGAGTTCAGAAGGTTTAACTTGCGCTACTCTGTGTAGCACTTGTTAGTGCTTCTCAACGAGGTTTTAGTATATATAGTGTTGATGTACGCTATCCTTAACTAACTGTACAGGCCATGTACTCCACTTTCAAAGGTCAATCTGTATATAACAGTACTCGGGGGTGATTTCTGTAATATTTATTTTCACTTCAGCAGAAATAGGTTTTCAATCAAAAAAAACTTAATAAACTATAGACATAATTTTAGCTTTTCCGTTAAGTAGAGAGGGATGTACGGTTTACAATGGTACTCTGAAATTTTAATTTTGATAGCAGATTTCCTCTTTAAAAGTAGATTATTTTAATCGTGATTTCTCTGGAGAGTGACTTGCACAGCAATATTTCATTGTTAATAAACGGTTCTGAGAAAACTGAGTAAAAATTAAAATACAAAACCATCTCATACACTTGTAATCCGTAAGCGTACTGCATATTTGAAGTTTGTACTGTATGAATATGCCATAATCTCTTAATTTCGACCTTTATCAGTAAACTGTCCTAAGCGTACACTCTGCAGGCTAAACCATTAAACTGAGAAGAGTTGTAACACTTTGTTTAAACTCTGTAATATAAATTAAATTAAAGTTTTATATGTAACGTATGAATTAAATGTATTCTTAACCTGCATCAACATAAAAATGTCTGTTTTATTAAACGTCAAATTTTTGAAAAAATGTTCCGATCCTTTATTAGACCTAATTTGATTTTATCTTTTCGCCGGAAAATTATATCTGCATTATCTGATTCAGTGACGTCATATAATTAAACCTACATATTCCATGTATGAATGATATTATTTAATAATAGAGAGTTTGTTGTTTATAGCAACAATCAACAATGATATTCAAATATAGCCAATAAGGTAAAGGGTTGTATAACCTAATACATTCATAAATAAAAAATTTATTCCTTCGCCGTAGATCTACACAATTAATATACTAAACTTGTATTGGGCATCCATTTTCTTCTGTTTCTTTAACATTAAAAGTTGTGTTGACTGTAGTGTAGGCAAAGCCACACACAAATTTGATAAGTCTTATATTTTTAAAACTTCTCTAAAATTTATTTTTTACAAACTTTGCAAAAATTATAAAAATTTCGCAACTAGTAGATTGAAAAAGAAAACTTACAAAAGTAAGAATCCTTAAATGTTGAAGAAAGGGATGAACTAGGTGCCCAGTACTATATGTACTATATGTACTATATGTACTTAACCTGGAGAAGTTGTGTTGTATTACTACAGGGTCTAGGAGGAGGAGGAGGAGGGGGTTGAGCAGGGTCCTGAGGTCGGGATAAATCAACCACATCAAGATGGATTCCATTGGGTTCCGTCTCCGGTTCACTTTCTCCACGCTACATGCAGGACACAGTACACATATATGGATCAACTCATGCTTTCAAAATATATTTGGCCTTTTTTACATGCTTAAATTCTTTTAGATCAATATTTTGAAAACTGGAAATATATTAAAATTTCTGAAAGCAAAGATCATAAAATCTTCAAAAAATATGGGACATGTTAAAGCACATCAAGAAACTGACAAAAGACACTTTCAATTCTTACACTATTTTGAGCATTATTTTTACCAGCAAATAAAGATGCAAAAAAACTATTCTATTTGTTTAAGGATAAAAGTAATATAACACTACTAAAGTATTTAAAACAGTAGAATATGAAGCATTAAGCAAAGTCCTCACACATGCTTTAATAAATAAAACTTTATGATTTATATATTGTCTTACCTCCGGACCCACTCCGTACTTTCTCCGGGTTTGGTTCGCATCTCCGTTAAACAGTGTTTTTAATCCTGAACAAAAGAAAGGAATTGCAAGTCTTTGTCACAAAATCTGATTTTACAATCATTTTATCTTTGCAACTCTTGTAACACAATGTAGTAGACCTTAGATATTTCTAACTCTGAATTCTTTTAGATTTAATATATCATAGGCTTACAACTCAGGTTGCAAAGATAAAGGGATAAGTAAAGTTTGTTTGTAAAGACTTAATTCCTTATCTTGTAATTGTTATAAAGGATTAGGATGATATTTAGCTATGTATGTTATCGACCAATATGTAACTTTCTTATCTTGTAATTGTTATAAAGGATTAAGATGATANGGGCTAATTTACGTTGCATTTTGATATAACATCAATTCATTATGTTCTTTAGTTGAACGTAATTTTATTGCTAATTTTGTTATACAGTAATAACCAGAAAACTTTGAAATAGAAAGACAACTTTTAAACTCAAGTTAGCGCCCCCCCCCCCCTGTGTCATGTGTTAAGTTGGCTTATCCCTTAGATTAAACTTTTAAGCCCGGGTGTATTTTTTCTCTAGTATTTAGACGAGTTTTAAAACACCACGGTCAACGCCGGGTTATACAACCTTCGTCAATCGTGCGACGAGGTTTTCTGCGTTTCTTGAGCAACAGTAGGATCACAGCGTACTCCATCAGGGCTCCTAAATACACTTGATTTAGATGACAATAAAAATTAAAGTAATTGATTAATTAGATAAGTAATGAGCCTTTTAGCAAGTGTTTAATCGTGAGCCCATTTTCGATCCTATAGTTCCTAAAACTAAAAAGCACTTAGTAAGGAGAGGTCTCAATCAACTCATTTAAAGAATGTTTCTCCGAAAATACACGTCCAAAATATCAAATGAATTTGATAATCATCAAAATGGTGTTCTGGTTTTTATGCTAACATCCAAGCTAGTTGTTAATTGATGTCCGAACCAATATATTCTCATATATCGTATACAGCTCTTTATTCTAAGACCAATTAGGCTTGTTAAAATTATTCAAGGAGGAAAACATTCACTTTTTTAGGAAGTTTAGGATACCTTAGAATACTCTAGTTTACTTTAGGATACTCTAGGATACTTTAGGATACTCTAGAATACTCTAGGATACTCTAGGAAACACTAGGATACTCGAGATACTTAACCTGCATCAAC